ATAAAAATTTGACAAAATTTTTCGTGTTTACTATACTTATTTGCCGTCAACACACGTCAAAAGTACACAGGTGTCTCTCGTAGTAGCCCTCTTCGTGTCACGTAATTAGCATTTTTTAGTTTGTTTTGTCCCGTTTAGTTTACCTAAATTTCACGTCCCTTCGAGGCGTGGGTGGTGACCATGAAGGATTTAGGGGTGGTACCACCTGGTGTCAACTAAATTTTGAGGTCAAAGACGCCCTCCTTTCTCACGACTTTTAGCCTAATTTGGGGACGTAGTGTCACACCATTTCAGGATTAACAAAGTCTCTGTAGATCATTAGCGTCGCCCAGGCCCCGGCGCAGTCACGAACCTTACCCTCTGGCGGACCTTATGGGGTCCCGACGACAATCGAAAAAAATTTTACGTCGAGTACGTACCACTGTTCCATGCTAAATATGGGATTGTTTACGTACATCGCCACCCACCTAATCAAAGTTTCGTACTGGAGACGAGAACAGTCAAAGGTGTTTATCTGCCCTTTGTGGAGAGGAAATCCGCGAGTGTCTGGGGCTTCCGTCGAGCGTCGTGCGAGGGAGTGTACGTGTGATGTACGAAGTACAGTCAAAGGTAGTCTTATCTGGCCACGTTCTTCTGGGCATTAAGGCGAGACACCCCAGGTGAATAGGGTAATTTTTTTAACTTAAAGGTATCAGCTAGAAATTTCTCAAGTTAATTACTTACAATAAGCCATGTTAAAAATTCTTGTTTCATTTTGTAGTCATATTAGTATCTAAGGCTTTTACAAAAGGGATTTTGGATATCTCTTTTTATCACTCCATAAATCAGAAAATACTGTCAACAGCCCTAAAATATCAATTTTTGCCATGTTTTTAGGTATACAATGTTGTATAATTCAGGCTATGAATGATATATGAACAAACTCTTCTGTAAAAGCCTTCATAATATTGATAGGAATATAACTGGAAGGTTTGGTGTGTCTACGTGCTACTGAAGTGGAAATGTCGGACTCAGAGTAGGAGAAAAAACTCATTTTGAGAAAACGACCTTTAAAGATTGCAGTGAGGCGCTAGCTAAACCCTCCTGTTCTTTGGATGACAGCTTGCGCCTCGACGCTCTCCGTGAAGGTATTTCATGTTCGGGGTCATTTGTTTTTTGTATAATCTTGCTTCGTGCAAGTGACAACTGTTGTCGTCTTCTCTGTAAACTTTTTTTTCGCCGTTCTTTTGCCATTTTGAGATTTACATTTCTAGCGGAAAGCTAACCAGGAAGTGTTTTAGCACACCACGTGACGCATCTGAACAAATCACGTTGTCTGAAATTGACACCAGCCAATGAGATTTCGTTTCTTGGTTTAAGACCCCTTTGTACTTTCACGATTGGTTGCTGATACAAAGGAAATGACCATATTTGAATCCGATGAGATTGTGCAGGAGAGACGGAGCTTTCCAACGATATCTCTGTTGACATGGTGCACACAGCGGTCGCGGTACTTTATGTTACGTTAGAATGCTAACTTTTGGTGAATTTAGGAGAAATCTACAGACGCAAATAGACAAACTATAGTAAAATAAACACTTAAATGTGTATTGTGTACGTTTTCCTTCCAAAAGCCTGAAATAAAACATGTTATAGAATCAAAATAGCACAAAATCTCAAAATTGACCAGTGCTTGAAAAACGATGTTTTTGCCTGCCGTGTCTCGCCTTAAAACATCAGCTGCAATCCACGACATGAAGAAGGCAGTCTCTGCAGAGCATAGAGGCTAATGGAGATGCAGTTATTTCCAGCATTCTTTATTTAG